TTATTTTGATTCTGTCTCTTGAAAAAAAATGCTGAAAACATCGGTTTGGCAAAGTTTTAATCGAATTAAGAAAAGAGGAAAAGAAAGGTTTGATGAGCAGCTGAAAAATGGAGTATACGAAAGAAAAGAAGAGAAACAAAAATAACAAGGTAAAAAAGAAAAAAAAAAGAAAGAATATAAAATGGCGATGACAAACGAAAAGATAAAGTTGCAATAGGAAAAAAAAATCAAATAATGCCGTTCATAAATAATCTTTTGTAGTATAAAAGAAAAAAAAACAAATAAAAAAATCTAGTTTAACCGAAATTGTAAAGCAAATGTAAGAAATATATTTTTAAAACTATGGGAACTCGTAACAAAAAAAAATATAGGCTGACAGATACTGAGAAATTTACAGAAAGTAAACAAAAATACTATCAGAACTATAGATACATTGAAGAAAATAGGAAAGAAAAAAAGAATGAAGGAAGAAGAAAAAAGAAGAAAGGATAGAGGAAGAAAGAAAAGAGAAAGAAAACAGTAGGAGAAAAGGAAAGAAAAAAACAATAAAAAAAGGAGTGCAGAAGAAAAGCAAAGAAAAAATGAGAGTAGGTAATAAAAAAGAAGGAAACAAAAGAAAGACAGAGAAAAAAGAAAAAAAGGAAAAAAGCAGAAAAATAAAGGATATTAAAGGAAGGAAAAAGAAGAAAAAGAAAGAAATGACATAAGAAAATAAAAGAATAAGTAGGTAAGGAAAGATAAAAATAATGAAAATAAAAAGAAAAAAAGATGGAAAGTTAAATAAAAGGCAAGAGAATAAAAATGAAAAAGTAAAGAAAAACAAAGAAAGAAAAATTTTAAAAAGTACAAAAAGGGAGAAGTATATAAAATGAAAGAAATGAAAATAAAAAAGAAAGGAAGAAAGAAGGAAAGGAAAACAGCGAAAGAAAGCAACCAAAGCAAGAACGAAATGAAAGCGAGAAACGAAAGCAGAGGGAGGAATGAAGATAGAAAAAAGCAAAAGAAAGAAAGAAAGAAAGAAAGAAATAAAGAATGAAAGAAGAAAAACAGCGAAAGAAATCAACTAAAGCAAGGACGAAATGAAAGCAAGAAACGAAAGCAGAGAGAGGAATGAAGATAGAAAAAAAAAAAGAAAAAAAAGAAAAAAGAAAGAAAGAAAGAAAGAAAAGAAAAAAGAAAGAATAAAGAAAATGAAATGAAAAAAACGAAAGCAGAAATGAAATAGAAAAAAGCAAAAAGAAACTAAAAGAAAGGATGAAATGAAAGAAGAAAAACCGAAAGAAACAACTAAAAGCAAGGGAGAAAGAAAGCGAGAAACGAAAGATAGAAAAAAGAAAAAAGCAAAAGAAATGAAAGAAAAGAAAGAAAGAAAGAATGAAAAGAAGAAAAACAGCGAAAGAAATCAACTAAAAGCAAGGATGAAAATGAAAGCGAGAAACGAAAGCAGAGAGAGGAATGAAGATAGAAAAAAAGCAAAAAGAAAAGAAAGAATGAAAAGAAAGAAAGAAAAGAATGAAAGAAAAACAGGAAAAGAAATCAACTAAAGCAAGGATGAAATGAAAGGAGAAACGAAAGCAGAGAGAGGAATGAAGATAGAAAAAAAAAAAAGAAAGAAAGAAAGAAAGAAAAAAAAGAATGAAAGAAGAAAAACAGCGAAAGAAATCAACTAAAGCAAGGATGAAATGAAAGCGAGAAACGAAAGCAGAGAGAGGAATGAAGATAGAAAAAAGCAAAAGAAAGAAAGAAAGAAAGAATGAAAGAAGAAAAACAGCGAAAGAAATCAACTAAAGCAAGGATGAAATGAAAGCGAGAAACGAAAGCAGAGAGAGGAATGAAGATAGAAAAAAGCAAAAGAAAGAAAGAAAGAAAAAAGAAAAAAGAAAGAATGAAAAAAAAACAGCGAAAGAAATCAACTAAAGCAAGGATGAAATGAAAGCGAGAAACGAAAGCAGAGAGAGGAATGAAGATAGAAAAAAGCAAAAAAAGAAAAAGAAAGAAAGAAAAGAAAGAAAGAAAGAATGAAAGAAAGAAAAAACAGCGAAAGAAATCAACTAAAGCAAGGACGAAATGAAAGCGAGAAACGAAAGCAGAGAGAGAAATGAAGATAGAAAAGCAAAAGAAAAAAAGAAAGAAAGAAAGGAAAAGAAAAAAGAAGAAAAAAGCTAAAGAAATCAAAAACAGGATGAAAAGAAATCAAACGAAAGCAGAAGGATGAAATAGAAAAAAGCAAAAAGAAAGAAAAAAGAAAGCAGAAAGAAGAGGAAATGAAGGATGAAATGAAAGCGAGAAAAGAAAAGAAAGGAATGAAGATAGAAAAAGCAAAAGAAAGAAAGAAAGAAAGAAAAGAAGAAAAGAGCGAAAGAAATCAACTAAAAGCAAGGATGAAATGAAAGGAGAAACGAAAGCAGAGAGAGGAAATGAAGATAGAAAAATAAAAGAAAAAAGAAAGAAAGAAAGAAAGAAAGAAAGAAAAAGAAGAAAAAAAGCGAAAGAAATCAACTAAAGCAAGGACGAAATGAAAGCGAGAAAGAAAAAGAAAATGAAGATAGAAAAAAAAAAGAAAGAAAGAAAGAAAGAAGGAAAGAATGAAAGAAACGAAAAACAGCGAAAGAAATCAACTAAAGCAAGGATGAAATGAAAGCGAGAAACGAAAGCACAGAGAGGAATGAAGAAGAAAAAAGAAAAAAAAGAAAAAAGAAAAAAGAAAAGAAAGAAAGAAAGAAAAGAAGAAAGAAGAAAAAACAGCGAAAGAAATCAACTAAAGCAAGGACGAAATGAAAGCGAGAAACGAAAGCAGAGAGAGGGAGGAAAAAGCAAAAGAAAGAAAGAAAGAAAAAGAAAAACAGCGAAAGAAAAACTAAAAAGGACGAAATGAAAAAGAAAAGAAAGCAAAAGAAAAAAAAAGAAAGAAAGAAAAGAAAGAAAGAAAGAATGAAATGAAAGAAAGAAGAAAACGAAAGAAATCAGACTAAAAGCAAAGGAGAAATGAAAGGAGAAAAAGCAAAAGAGAGGAAAAGAAAAAAAAAAAAGAAAAAAGAAAGAAAAATGAAAGAAGAAAAACAGCGAAAGAAATCAACTAAAGCAAGGATGAAATGAAAGCGAGAAACGAAAAGCAGAGAGAGAATGAAGAGGAATGAAAGAAAGAAAAAAAGAAAAAAGAAAGAAAGAAAGAAAGAATGAAAGAAGAAAAAACAGCGAAAGAAATCAACTAAAGCAAGGACGAAATGAAAGCGAGAAACGAAAAAGCAGAGAGAAAAAAAAAAAAAGAAAGAAAGAAATGGGGAATGAAAAGAAACAGCGAAAGAAATCAACTAAAAAGACGAAAGAAAGCGAAAAGAATGAAGATAGAAAAGCAAAAAAAGAAAGAAAGAAAGAAAGAAAGAAAGAAAGAAAAAACAGCGAAAGAAATCAACTAAAGCAAGGATGAAATGAAAGCGAGAAAAAAGCAGAGAGAAATGAAGAGAAAAGAAAGCAGAAAGAAAGAATGAAAGAAGAAAATGAAGACTAAAGCAATGGCGAAAAAAAGAAACGAAAAGAGGGAGGAAAGAAGAAAAAAAGCAAAAAAAGAAAGAAAGAAAGAAAATGAAAGAAAGAAGAAAACAGCGAAAGAAATCAACTAAAGCAAGGATGAAATGAAAGAGAAACGAAAGCAGAGGAGGAATGAAGATAGAAAAAAAGCAAAAGAAAAAGAAAAGAAAGAAAGAAAGAAAAGAATGAAAGAAGAAAAAACAGCGAAAGAAATCAACTAAAGCAAGGATGAAATGAAAGGAGAAACGAAAGCAGAGAGAGGAATGAAGATAGAAAAAAGCAAAAAAGAAAAAAGAAAGAAAAAAAATGAAAGAAGAAAAAAGAAAGAAATCAACTAAAAAGGATGAAATGAAAGCGAGAAACGAAAGCAGAGAGAGAAAATGAAGATAGAAAAAGCAAAAAAAAGAAAGAAAAAAAGAAAGAAGAAAAAACAGGAAAGAAAAAGAAAAGAAATGAAAGCGAGAAACAAAATGAGAGAAAGAAGATAGAAAAAGCAAAAGAAAGAAAGAAAAAGAAAGAAAAAAGAAAGAAATCAACTAAAGCAATGGCGAAATGAAAGCGAGAAATGAAAGCAGAGAGAGGAATGAAGATAGAAAAAACAAAAGAAAGAAAAAAAGGAAAGAAAGAAAGAAAAAAAAGAAAACAGCGAAAGAAAAACTAAAAAGAAAAGAAAGAAAAGAAAAGATAGAAAAAAAAAGAAAAGAAAAAAGAAAAGAATGAAAGAAGAAAACAGCGAAAGAAATCAACTAAAGCAAAGAAATGAAAAGAAAACGAAAGAAAACGAAAAGCAGAAAGCAAAAAGAATGAAAGAAAGAAAAAAAGAAAAAAAGAAAAGAAAGCAAGGAAGAAATGAAAAGAAAAAAAAGAAAAAAAAGCAAAAGAAAGAAAGAAAAAAGAAAGAAGAAAAAAACATGAAAGAAATCAACTAAAAGCAATGGCGAAATGAAAGCGAGAAACGAAAGCAGAGAAGAAAAAAAGGAAAGAAAGAAAAAAAGAAAGAAGAAAAACAGCGAAAGAAATCAACTAAAGCAAGAAATGAAAAGAAAAGAGAGGAAAAAGAAAAAGCAAAAGAAAGAAAAAGAAAGAAAGAAAGAAAAAAAAAAGAAAAAGAAAGAAAAATCAACTAAAGCAATGGAGAAATGAAAGCAGAGAGAAAAAAAAAAAGAAAGAAAGAAAAAAAAGAAAATGAAAGAGAAAGAAATCAAAAAGGAAAAAAAGAGAAAGAAAGAAAATGAAGAAAGAAAAAAAAGAAAGAAAAGAAAGAAAGAAAAGAAAGAATGAAAGAAGAAAAAACAGCGAAAGAAATCAACTAAAGCAATGGCGAAAAATGGAGAAATGAAAGAGAGAAAAGATAAAAAAGCAAAAGAAAGAAAGAAAGAAAGAAAGAAAGAAAAAGAAAAAGAAAAAGCAAAAGAAATGAAAGCGAGAAAGAAAGAAAGAAGGAAAGAAAAAAAAAAGCAAAAAGAAAGAAAGAAAAAAAAAAAAACAGGAAAAAATCAACTAAAGCAAGGATGAAATGAAAGCGAGAAAAAAGAAAGGAAATGAAGAGAAAAGCAAAAAAAGAAAGAAAGAAAAGAAAGAAAAGAAAAGAAAGAAAAAAAAGAAACGAAAAGAGAAAGATAAAAAAAAAGAAAGAAAAAGAAAAGAAAGAAAGAAAGAAAGAAGAAAAACAGCGAAAGAAATCAACTAAAGCAAGGACGAAATGAAAGCGAGAAACGAAAGCAGAGAGAGGAAGAAGGAAAAAAAAATGAAGAAAGAAAGAAAAAAGAAAAAAGAAAGAAAGAAAAGAAGAAAAAGCGAAAGAAAATCAAAAAGCAATGGCGAAATGAACAGAGAAACGAAAGCAGAGAGAGGAATGAAGATAGAAAAAGCAAAAGAAAGAAAGAAAAAAAGAATGAAATGAAAAAAGAAAAAATCAAAACAAGGACGAAATGAAAGCGAGAAAGAAAGCAGAGAAGGAATGAAGATAGAAAAAGCAAAAAAAGAAAGAAAGAAAGAAAGAAAGAAAGAAAGAAAAAAGAAAAAAAGAAAAAATCAACTAAAGCAAGGACGAAATGAAAGGAGAAAGCAGAGAGAAATGAAAGAAAGCAAAAGAGGAAAGAAAGAATGAAAGAAGAAAAAAGCAAAAGAAAAGAAAAAAGAAAGAAAAGAAAGAAAGAAAGAAAGAATGAAAGAAGAAAAACAGCGAAAGAAATCAAAAAAAGCAAGAATGAAAATGAAAGCGAAAGGAGAAACGAAAGCAGAGGGAGGAATGAAGATAGAAAAAAAAAAAAAAGAAAGAAAAGAAAGAAAGAAAGAAAGAAAAGAAAGAAAGAAGAAAAAACAAAGAAAAAATCAGGATAAAGAAAGCGAGAAAGGATGAAATGAAAAGCAAAAGAAAACGAAAGAAAGAAAAGAAGGAAAAAAAAAGAAAGCAAAAAAAAGAAAGAAAAGAAAGAGAAACGAAAGAAGAAAAAGAAGAAAAACAAACTAAAGAAAGAAAGAAAGAAAAAAAGAAAGAAAGAAATGAAAGAAGAAAAACGAAAGAAATCAAGAAAGAGGGAATGAAAATAGAAAAAAAAGAGGAAATGAAAGAAAAAAAAAAAAGAAAGAAAAAGAAAGAAAGAATGAAAGAAGAAAAAAGAAAGAAATCAAAAAAGGACGAAACGAAAAGAAACGAAAGCAGAGAGGAATGAAAAATGAAAGCAAAAGAAAGAAAGAAAGAAAGAAAGAAGAAAGAATGAAAGAAAGAAAGAGAAAAAATACTAAAAAAGACAGAAAAAGAAAGAGGAATGAAAGAGAAAAAAGCAAAAGAAAAAAAAGAAAGAAAGAAAAAAAACAAAGAATGAAAGAAGAAAAAAGCGAAAGAACTAAAAGCAAGGACGAAATGAAAGCGAGAAACGAAAGCAGAGAGAGGAATGAAGATAGAAAAAAGCAAAAGAAAGAAAGAATGAAAGAAAGAAAGAAAGAATGAAAGAAGAAAAACAGCGAAAGAAATCAACTAAAGCAAGGACGAAATGAAAGCGAGAAACGAAAGCAGAGAGAGGAATGAAGATAGAAAAAGCAAAAGAAAGAAAGAAAGAATGAATGAAAGAAGAAAAACAGCGAAAGAAATCAACTAAAGCAAGGACGAAATGAAAGCGAGAAACGAAAGCAGAGAGAGGAATGAAGATAGAAAAAAGCAAAAAAGAAAGAAAGAAAGAAAGAAAGAAAGAAAGAAAGAATGAAAGAAGAAAAACAGCGAAAGAAATCAACTAAAGCAAGGATGAAATGAAAGCGAGAAACGAAAGCAGAGAGAGGAATGAAGATAGAAAAAAGCAAAAGAAAGAAAGAAAGAAAGAAAGAAAGAAAGAAAAAGAAAGAAAGAAAGAAAGAATGAAAGAAGAAAAACAGCGAAAGAAATCAACTAAAGCAAGGACGAAATGAAAGCGAGAAACGAAAGCAGAGAGAGGAATGAAGATAGAAAAAAGCAAAAAGAAAGAAAGAAAGAAAGAAAGAAAGAATGAAAGAAGAAAAACAGCGAAAGAAATCAACTAAAGCAAGGACAAAATGAAAGCGAGAAACGAAAGCAGAGGGAGGAATGAAGATAGAAAAAAGCTAAAGAAAGAAAGAAATAAAGAAAGAAAGAAAGAAAGAAAGACAGAAACAAAGAAAGAAAAGTAGAAGAAAAAGGACACACGGGAGCGGAGAAAAGAAAACTGATGAAAGACAAAGAAATAATGAAAAAAAAAAGAAGGCAAACAAAATAGTAAAGAAGAGACAACGCGTGAAACTGCACCTTTTGATGACGTAATATTTACAAAGCTCGTTTCGTAGCAGACTATGAACACCTTAATGAGTTCCATTCTCACTGAGTGCTCAATATTTCAATCTTGTGCTAGAATAAGCAATTCATACCAAGAATAAATAGTCAATTCAAATAGTGAAAAAGACAATTGGAGCATAAATATTCTTGTATCTTCGAATCTTACATATTTTTCAAATTCTTCATTCAACAACAAAGCTGAAATGTTTGAATCCATCCCAAAGACAAAGATGTTTCTTGGACACATTTCGAGGAAGGAAGGCTTGGAAAGTTTACACGCACAGTAGGAGGCAGCAGACATGACCTACCATGCTTGAATAGAATTGGTTTGGTTTGGTTTGGTTTGTTTTACGGTATATCAACCTCAATGGTTTATTTAATGCCAACAAGATTTTTTATAGCTGGCAATATTTTTTTTTCTAAAGTATTTCTGGTAATATTTTTTTCAAATATGTATTGCTGGTAATACTTCTTTTTTCAAAAATGTATTGCTGCTCATAATTTTTTTTTTTTCAAAAATTTATAGCTGGTAATATTTTTCCAAAAAATATTGCCGGTAATAATATATTGTTGGTAATAAGTTTTTACAAAAATGTATTGCTGGTATTAAAACGTATTTTTACACTTTCATAGCGTTTTGACCCTAGTTTGGGGTTATTATTTGCCTATAGATGCGACCCTAACAGGTGCTACCACCCCGGGTGAGAGTGGGCCTGGGAATACCAGTAATTAAGAGATGGTTCCACGTTCATTAAAACCCTATTAATCAGAAGCGTTGGATGTAGTTTATCGCCTTACATAGAACGCGGATCTAGTTTGTCGTCATACCCAGGACGCGGATCTAGTTTATCGTCTTACCCAGGACGCAGATCTAGTTTATCGTCATACACAGGACGGTGTTTGAATAGAAGACCGAACGTGTAATGGGATGGTTGTCAAAGGAACAAACGTTACTCAGATTTACAATAGATAGGGTGTTTTGGAGAGCCATGATCAGCAACGTCTCTAGGCCGCTCAGATCTTCTATGCCGTACTTGATTCATTAGCGTTTCCAGTCAACGTGATGAGGGCATTTTTAACTTCCAACGAGATTTTTCCATTTGATTATTTCTTTCTTTCATATTGCATACGATATTTCCCATTTGATTATTTCCTTCGTTCATATTGCATACTTTTTCTAGTAATAAGAGATGTGAATTAATTATATCAATTTAAAAAGTGGTTGGAAAAATTTTGGAGAGATAGTCAGCTATGAAGTTTTAATATCTGTTCCCTACCCTGAGGCGTTCAAATAACATTCTCGTTCACATTCAATAAATGTTAAACTGGACTGGTATAGTGACCATATCATTCATCGGAAGCCTCTAGAATCCACTTCAGATCAGATGTGAGCAACTTGAGCCTGATGGCCTGGTGTGTTATTTTGCTACGAAATATCTCTTTTGCTAGAACACGTGGAGGCCATACAATTGTCACGAATCAGTGTCACGTAACGGTCATCGATCAATAACGTGTTTAGGCGGACGAAAGAACCGAACACACGATAAGCGGAACACACGCCACTATTATGGAACTCTCACCAGCTTGAACGGTGCTTTGTCTTCAACTGAAATTCATGACCTCATGGGGTCTGCTTTACACCGTTAACCTATCAACCTTAATCAGTTCGAATCGTGACACATCAGACGACGCCACACGCTGCTAGTCATCTAGTTACCAATCAACGATGTCAAAAGTTCAGGTGAAGCACTATGTCCAGTGTTGTGTTGTTAACACAGAGTCACTCGTGATGGGTCTTTTACTCCCATAGACTATGGAAGATCATGAACATGGAAATGACCTACTAGACATGTGCCTGATGTTGCTTGCATTAAATTTGGATGCGATTCAAGCCTTGTTTGTTATCATTTTTCGCAGACGTCTGTGGTCACAATGATTATAATCTCGTAGTCGGACATTACGCTGTCCAGTGTGGGCTGTAACGTCTTCCATCACGTATTCCTGCTACAAATGTGACACCATCGATCGGTGGGGGGGTCATATATTCCCTTCATCTTTGTGTCGTTTCCGTCTAGGACGTGCGTGATCATGGCTCTCCACAATTTCCTGTCGTTTGTAGACCTGAATAACGTTAGTTAGGTAGGTTATTTGATTCCTCTGTCGCTCTTGCCTGCAATATGTCCTGTGAGTGACAAATTCTCCAAGCGCTCTTTCCTCATTATGTGTCCAAGAAACTTCAAATGTCTCTTTCTGATATCAAGTATGTGTCCTTTTTGTTTCCCTTTTTCATTGAAACTTCGGCAGTTTTCTCTAGAACAGTTCTGTTGCTTCACGTCTCCTCTTCAACTGTGATGTGATGGACAAGCATTCACTGCCATATAGGAGTGCCGATATTCCCTAACAGTTCCGTACTCTTTTCTTAGTTTACAATCACATTTTCCTGATTCTTATTATTTTACTTAACTTTTGGAAGGCATCTTTCGCTATCACAATGCACCTTCGAATTTCGGAGTCAAATTTTCCATCCCTATATTAAAACACTTCCTGATTCTTATTACTTTACTTAACTTTTGGAAGGCATCTTTCGCTATCACAATGCACCTTCGAATTTCGGAGTCAAATTTTCCATCCCTATATTAAAACACTTCCTGATTCTTATTACTTTACTTAACTTTTGGAAGGCATCTTTCGCTATCACAATGCACCTTCGAATTTCGGAGTCAAATTTTCCATCCCCATGTTAAAACACTTCCTAGATATTTCCACTCATTTGATTTTGGTATCTCCAATTTGTAATTCTGATATTGCACTGTCCCTTTTTGCTGACAACCATACATGGTGTCCGTTTACAATTGATTATTAGTCCCTTCTTCACGCTTTCCTTTATTATCTTCTGTTGAGGTTCATTTCGTGTCTGTTATCAATAGTCTGTCTTCTGAATATCTAATGATGTTAAGATGGTGGCCGACATCAATGAATACTGGCAGGAGTCTTAATTCTTTCAGAATCGCTTCAACGTGAAGGTTGAATAATTCCAGTGAGATGACACATCCGGGTCTTACGTCCCTATCTGTTCTTTTTTTATGTATTTACTAAATTTATTTTCTATCATAATACAGGCTGTTCGTTCCCAATATAGCTTCCGGGTAATTCTAATTACCTCCCCAAATAAATCAAGCTTACTTAACACTTCCAACAGCTATTTGTGGCTTCACTTGTCAACCGGTTTTGCATAATCTATAAAACACAGTTAGACGTCCCTATGCATTCCTCATAATTTCTAAAATAGAATATTCCATTTGAACACGCTTCATACCCGTCGCCTAAACGATTATCATACAAAAGCTGTAGCAAATCTGATATAGGTCTGGATAATTACATGACAGCAAGAAATAGCGCTGCCACCTAATATTAAACTGCTAGCTAATGACTTTAAGCATTTTATAAGTATAAACAGATAAATATAAACCTTTCCTCGTGGAGCTATAATTAGAAATCTTACTGAGAAGACCACCACATCTGTCGTGGTTTTGATCTTCACAAGTTGTCATATATTCGTCGACTTCTGTCATACTAAATAAAGTAGAATTAATATTGAGGAATGACGTCTCTAAACAAATTATTCCTGATCATCACTACTGTATTTGCTTTCTTACAAGTACTCAGATTTAGTAGCCTTGTTTTTGCTTAAGCTAATCTTCAAGAATGTTTTATATAGCGTACTTTGTGATAGGAATTGGTACATAGTACTCGAGATCGTTGTTCAAAGACCAACTAAAAGCCACGATACTAAATTCGGATTTTCTACTCAAGAAAGCTCTCCAGAATAAAATGATTAGCGCAACATAAATTTCTTAATCACTAATTTGTGTAAATTATTTTATTTATATGAAGAGTAAGGGAAAAGAGAAAAATACAAAAACAAGACCAGCTATGGAAGGGCAGAAAGGTAATTAATAACAAAACAAAAGTCTTAAAAGCAATAATATTTTTTGAGAGAAAGAAATCAAAATAACAACCATTTTGATCGACAGTTTCATACTTACTTCCATAATGGACCAATTTGGTTATTAAGCAACAATTTCATAATTCCCCAAGATCGATAAAAGATGATAAAATTGAAGATTAATTATTAAATATTAATGTTGTAATCTGTTGTAAATATTATTGGTGGATATCACTTTTACATACATACTTTTAATTTGATATTGAAATCGATCAGAAACGAGAGATTAATTGCATAATTACAAGATTATTCTAACCCTGTCACTATCGATTTAGCATTCTTTGAAATGTTGACTAAAACATTAACGATTTTCTTACTGCCCCCATTAATCGATATTTCAGTCATAGTGAAATCAAATTAATCAAGTCTTGATTTTCCTATAGAGTATTTCGTATTTTACGTATTGTATAATCAGCAAAATCATACTGAACAATTTATATATATATATATATATATATATATATATATATATATATATATATATATTGGGGCTACACAATCATCCTAGCTTTGAGCATTTATTATATCAACGTATTTTGGCATTTGCTAACACTACAGCGATTTTCGTAAAAATAATTATTGAATAGAAAAAAGAATGTTTTGCATAAAATTGATAAATTGAGGACCGATGAGAAGAGGTTGATTTGTTTTATTTTACTCGGTGGTGCCATAAAAATTGAAATGATTGGAATGTTATCACACGCACACATACACACACACACACACACACACACACACATATATATATATATATATATATATATATATATATATATGACAACAGAAGTCAACACACTTTTATATATATATATATATATATATATATATATATATATATATATATATATATATATAAAGTGTGTTGACTGTGTTGTTCATTTACATATTTTATATCTACATACATTATCCTGATATTTAACACTTTCACCCATAAACATACCATACTTTAAAAATATATTTTATCACATTTACACACACACACACACACACACACACACACACACACACACACACACACACACACACATATATATATATATATATATATATATATATATATATATGAAAGTGGACATTGAAGTCAATACACAGATGGTCTTTGTGTCGACTTCAATGTCTACTTTTATATTAACATACACTCTTTTTCTGGTATTGAGAAATTTAACCCGTAAATATAGCATACCTTAAAAAAAAAATGAATTCCAAATCTACTACGATGCCAGAAAACTGATAAATTCCTAAATTTGCTTCCCTATAGTAAATTAAAAATAACTCTCCCTCTACAGATAAATTATAAAAAATTGTACATTTTTCATATTCAGAAAAAAACAATATTCGGCAGATATATGGGTTCTACTCTCAGCATTGTATTAGCTTACTCCTATCTAGATTTTTTCACAGTAAAGTTCACCCTGTACAAGGCCCAGGTGCCACTCGAGGTAGAGTGTTATGTTAAGATGGAGTTTGTACGGATACGAGAGGAAGGTAACGGTTACCCCTAGATTTGAACAGATTAAGATTGTAGTGATCTGGGAAATATCCTCTTGGGAGTCGGTTCCAAGGGACAATGGTTCGCAGGAAGAATCTGTTCAAGTGGAACTTACTTCTACACTGTCTGTCTGTCTGTCTGCTCATATCTATCTATCTATCTATCTATCTATCTATCTATCTATCTATCTATCACAGTCTGTTCATTATCTATCTATCTATCTATCTATCTATCTATCTATCTATGTCATTTTCCTTATATCTATCTATCTATCTATCTATCTATCTGTTTGTTATACCATAATACCTATTCTATTGTAATAGACTTTCCCACAGATAACAAATAGTAGTAGCAGTGACCAGTTGGTGCTCAGTGGTGTTGAGTGAGTCTGTCAGACATTGAAGTATCAACCATCACAACTAGATTGCTGCGTCATTAACTCTTATTTCAAGTTCCTAACGTTTTTGTACATCGAACCTAATTTAGGACGACGTATTGAAATACAAGCCTCCACTGTGAAAACTACTCTACAATACTGTTACATTCATATACTCATAAAGTCGATGAGATATTTTAGAGTTTATCTATCTTATTAATAATCTCCGTTTTATAGATACATATTTCAATCATTTATTGCCTATTTCGATCTAGTTATATCTGAATTTCATGGGGTCGAATTGCTACCTAAAATCAGTAAATTTATTTTTGTCGACTTTAGAAATTAAAAAAATAAATAAAACAAAGTTAATTTCTAAATTTCTGCTTCTTTTGGAAATCTTTGTAGCAAGGGATTTTCAGATCAAAGCTTCTTTCCATTTTAACAAAATAGGACAACCATGACTTTTTTTTGTAAAATTTTCATTTCGTATTCAGTTTCCGAAATGTCTACAATTATTTTACTTAATTACGAAAATCTAAAATAAAGACGTTTTGATATATTTTAAAATTGGGTCAAGACTTTTTAATTCCCATTAAGATATTTTGATGAAAATCAATATTTTAATCTTAAAAAAACAGCTTTTGTCTCTAACTTTTGTAATCGTAGATCGAAATTATTTTGTTTTATAACGTCCATTATTTCTTAAGGGTTCTAATATTTTCAAAAACAAAGCTTTTCTGCAATTATTTGCTAAAAGTTTTGAATTCCACATATTAAGAAGACTTTACTCAGAATTTAATTCTAATATTAAATATTTATTTAGACATACGATTTATTTTTCTTATATCCCCGTGGCTTTTCTGAGATTTCATATTAATGTTTCGTCCATATTAATATCTAAATATAATTTATTATATATTACTTTTATTCATCATAGTTCCCGGCGTTTTAAAATGAAACAATATCAAGCCGAATCATATTTAGTGCACAATTTTGTAGCCATTTAAGGCAATAGTATGTTAGTATAAAATATACTGTATTAGTTTGTCACATTTAAATTACAAGCACATCAAATGATTCGTTCTTTTGTCACTGAGATGTTCACGTTGTAATACGTGAAAGGGGCGTCGAGACAATCTCGTATTTTTTTCTAGAAATGAATTGTCTATTCAACAGGATAAAAGTCTGAGACACATTCTCGTTTTACTCTCGTTCTTTATCATTTTCTCGGTCTCTCTCTTATCTAGTGTTTCTGTAATTCATTCTTTCATTCATTCATTCATTCATTCTTCCATTCATTCATTCTTTCATTCATTCTTTCATTCTTTCATTCATTCATTCTTTCATTCATTCTTTCTTTCATTCATTTATTCTTTCATTCATTCATTCTTTCATTCTTCCATTCATTCTTTTATTCATTAATTCATTCTTTCATTCGTTCATTAATTCATTTTTTCATTCATTCTTTCATTCATTCATTAATTCATTCATTCTTTTATTCATTCTTTCTTTCATTCATTCTTTCATTCTTTCATTCATTCATTCTTTCATTCATTCTTTCATTCATTCATTTATTCTTTCATTCATTCATTCTTTCATTCATTCATTCTTTTATTCATTAATTCATTCTTTCATTCATTCATTAATTCATTTTTTCATTCATTCTTTCATTCATTCATTAATTCATTTATTCTTTTATTCATTCATTCTTTCATTCATTCTTTCATTCATTCTTTCATTCATTCTTTCATTCTTTTATTCATTAATTCATTCTTTCATTCATTCTTCCATTCATTCATTCTTTCATTCATTCTTTCTTTCATTCATTCTTTCATTCATTCTTTCATTCTTTCATTCATTCATTCTTTATATTAATGGCTCCTTATACCTGGCTTTAAATTTGCACGACATAATGGCTGTTGTGACTGCATTCGCTATGGTTGTAAGGACCTGGTTGTGACGCCAACGATACCGACCATCACCTAAAGTCTTTGGACAGCTACTTATGTGTTACAATGAACCTCTCTTCCCAAATAGAACGCAGTTGGGTGTTATATTTATTTAGATATTTATATTTGCTGAACTTGGGAGACAGATTTTATTAGGAAATATATCCTACTAAAGTCTTCCATTGTTCACTTCCTTTCCATTTCCTCCATGCTCCTTGTTGGCGAAACCCGACCATTCTACATTAACGGCGCCTACCCGTATTTCATTTTGTAATAATTAGCGTCTTTCTTTATCTTGGGCTTTATGAAATCGTCTACTAAGTAAATAGCCTAATTCTGTTTTCCCTTTTGCCTTGATTCCTATTAAGACTTTATGTCTTAAGCTCTCTTCTGCCACAGCTAATTATTTAATGCCGCTCCATTTTCCCTCTGTCAAAGTCTCTATTCTTGATCCTCTCACTTTCGGGTCTTTACATTCTCTGATGAAATAAAACGAAAGCAGGAAAAATATCCTAAATAATCTTTCAACAGAACTCGATTACGGACTTGCAAAACAACTGAAATTCCCAGGGCAGATAGTGCAGACAGCACTTCACACAGATCTATTAATATATTCCAACAGCACCAAAAAATTAATAATTTGAGAATTACCGGTTGCGTGGGAGGAGAATATCACGTTTGTTATTGAAAGGAAGAAAGCGTGAGAAATACCAGCAGTTGCCCGAAAGATGGCAATAAAATGGTTGGAAAACCTACTTCGATCCATTTGAAGGGAGGGCAGATGTTTTGCGAGGCACTCATTAAGTAAGCCACGAGCAAAAATTGGAATCATGGGAGCAGCAAAAGGAGGAAGTCGCGAAAGAAAACTCAGACGCAACTGAAGATGGATCCCAGTGTATATGGCTAAAAAGGAATTAACCGTAGATTAAACCAGGAATAAGATGAGTGAAAATGTAATCCCCCCCCCTTTTGTTAAGTAAGTTAGCTGGCATTTTCTGGCTAGGGCGCCATTGAAACCAACGGTTTGTTTCAGCTTTAAACACCAGAGTTAGGTGTTTGCGGGCGGGGGTCCAAAGGTTTTTTAAATAGTTGGCCCAATCAACACTTACCAACGAAGTAAGTCAGATTTTTTTTTGTTTTTCTTTTTTTTAGCCTTGCTTTCTTGTTTACCAAGAAAGATGGCCTCAAATAGCTTTCAAACCCATGAAGCCAACGGATTTAATATTAATCTGGCTTAATGTAAACCTCCCCCCCTCACCTCACGATGGAACATCGAAGTCAGCTCCTATGGTTTTGGTTTTCTGTAACACTAAACGTCTGCGGTATAGCATTTACAAGTTTGTTCAAGGTACTGTTAAATTGTTTTTTTTTGTTTATTAAGATCGCCTGAGAGGTCAGGAAGTCAATGCATGGACGTAGATTAAGGGAAATGTAATCCAATATGGCAATTAATGTTGATTGGAGTAATGTCGGCGCATGCGCAGGTAAAAGTCAAATCGGAAAGCCCGCGCAAATCGTGCCGTCCATCTTTTACCCGTAGATAGCATGCAAACCAATATCTGATTGGCTAATGCAAATCTCGATGCTATAAGACCTACTTCCTGATATAATTCATGATTGATTTTTTTTTTAAGTATATTGTGGAGCGAATTATGCGGGAAGGCTGCCTGTCAACAGGTCGGAGTACCTGGCAGAACGGGTCTAATATTGCAATACCCGAAATTCGTAATGAAGACAAGGTGACATCTCTGATGGCTTCCGCCGTTTCTTTCTTTCATTTGTACTTCGCCACATTTCATTTAATCCTCTTTTTAAATTTTCCTCTATTATATCCCATCATACTCTTTCTTTTTATAGCATATCTCATTTAATTCTTTCTTTCATTTTCCCATCATATTCTTTCTTTCTTTTTTCTTTTCTTTTCTTTTCTTTATCATCTCCCATCTGTTTTTCTTTCTTTTTTCTAGGTTTTTTACTTCTTCCTTTCTTTCTTTATCATATCTCATCGCTTTCTTGCATTCTTTCTTTCATTTTTCCTTTGTTATATCTCATAATTCTTTCTTTCTTTCATTTTTCCTACAGTATATCCTATCATATTCTTTCTTTTCTCTTACTATATCGTATCTATTTTTCTTTCTTTTTCTGTACTTCTTTCTTTCTTTCTTTCTTTCTTTCTTTCTTTCTTTCATTTTCCTTCGTTACATCTCATATAATTCTTTCTTTCTTTACAGTATATCCCATCATATTCTCTTTCTTTCATTCTTTCTTTCTTTCTTTTTTCTCTACTTTATAATTTGTAATCGCATCTTTATAATCACATCATATTATCTCTTTCTTTTCCTTTTGCATATCCCATCATATTCTTTCTTTCTTTCTTTTTTTCTTTCATTCTTTCTTTCTTTCTTTCTTTCGCAAATCTAATCTATTTCTTTCTTTCTTTCTTTAATTTTTATTCGTTATATCTCATATAATTCTTTCTTTTATTACAGTATATCCCATCATATTCTCTTTTTTTCTTTCTTTCTTTTTTCTTTCTTTCTTTCTTTACAGAATATCCCATCATATTCTTTCTTTCTTTCTTTCTTTCTTTCTTTCTTTCTTTCTTTACAGTATATCCCATCATATTCTTTCTTTCTTTCTTTCTTTCTTTCTTTCTTATATCCCATTTATTTATTTATTTACGTTTTCGAGATTTTTACTTCTTTGTCTTTCATTTCTTTACATCTTCTTTTATTTTTCCTTTAGCATAGCCCATGATATTCATTCATTCATTCATTCATTCATTTTTCTTTCTTATTCCTTTAGCTTATACCATCATATACTTTCCTCAATGGCATAAATTGCCGCGTTTGAACCATTTCAACAATTACCCAATCATTTCACAGAAACAGAGCTCCGAAACACCTGGAGCAACAATTAAAATATCTCTCACCCACCTCTTTCGTCCCCCACCACCAGCACCGTCGCCGCCGCCGCTCCCCTCATCACTCGCCAGACAATCACCAGACGGGGACAACTCACCACCACCACCCTTCATTATTCAACTCTCTCACTTGTCACCGGCACATTCAATCATCCCGCCAGGATCCTCTCGATGTTTTTAAAAACATCCTACAAACGGCTAATCAAACGTTGACAAACGACACACTCGCTAACACCGAACAATCAGATGAAACCTTTGAAGCAAATACACACAGACCGAAATCGTTGGCACAAAGACGTTGGAGACGACGAGAACATCCATTGAAAAAGACTGACCTTACCAGTCGTTCATTTTAACCCACTATCATCCATCATACATCTCTTCCCATAACACCAACAGATCCAGTTTAAATCCTATCCATCTTTTTTTCAGAAAGAGTGAAAGAAAAAGCGGAAGCGAAAAGAGTATAGAAAAAAGGATAAAGAGAACAGAGAGAGAGAGAAGAGAGAGAGAGAGAGAGAGAAAGAGAGAGAGAGAGAGAGAATAGTCCGAATGATGTAAATAATGTACATAATACCTCATCTCAGAAATATAGACAGACACTGAAGGGCCGAAACGTTGTAATAAATATGGCGACAAAGATGAGGACAATAGTCCGAATAATGTAAATAATGTACATAATACCTCATCTCAGAAATATAGACAGATTCTGAAAGGCCGAAACGTTGTAATAAATATGGCGACAAAGATGAGGACAATAGTCCGAATAATGTAAATAATGCACATAATACCTCATCTCAGAAATATAGACAGATACTAAACTGACCTTGTTAAAAACTGTAAATACAATTCTTGTCAATGTGTCTGATTGTTTTACTAGTTGAGTTTTTCTTTTTTCTACCAAACCAGGACGGAATATGACACAAGACTGTGTTTGAATGGGACTCCCATTATATGTACACCGGAATAGGTCCACAAATTGTTCAGTTATCTCGCTAATTTCCTTTAAGAGGTATCAGGCATTTACCCAGGGGCTGTTCCTGGGTAGATATCCCCCACCCGTGCAACTGAGGGGTATAAAACACTTTCGGATTATTACGAAAGGGAGAAAGAAAATAAAGCGGAGCGTAGTTTTTTTTTTTTTTCATTGATTTTCTCTCAACTTTTTATGCAAGGCTCAAGATCCTTTCAAGGTAGAGGATTTCTGAAGAAAGCGGTTGGATGGACGTAGGAAGTAAGAATTGTAGATTATGAGAATGTGTAGGGTTGATGACTGTTGACACTATACATGAAAAGGTCAAGATTAGAGTGATCGAGGAAGCATTCTCTCGGGAGTCTGTTTCGCAAAGTAGTGTTACTTGAACAGAAGCTGTCTGTGTGGAACTTGCATCTTGAAAATGTTACAGGAAATGAATGCGGAGGATTCGAACCTGTGTAGTTGGTAGGAATAGACTAGCGACTTTTCGTCTGTGGGAGAGGTCTTGTAGGGTGGAAAATAATTAATCGTTCACATAGTTGCGCAAATGCTTTTGAACATTATTAAAGCTGGAAAGTGAAGATTGGTTAGCGCCAACCCAGGTATGGCAACAAAACTCCATTTTGATCAGACTAGCTAATTATTTGATTTGTTTAACAGAATATCTCTTCCTTATGGGTCTTTAATGTCGAAATTTAATTTTCTTAGGAGCTTTGAAGTAATAAAAATATGTTATTCTTCTTTCACAATTGAATTCATGGTAGCTGATACTCTGATTTTGTGTATATACATGTTTGTGTGAATATAATTACTAGAGGCGGTGATATATAGGTTTTATTTTTTTAAGTTATATTTTGAAATATATTTCGGTTTAAGAAATTGTAGGATATTATATGGATTGATGTCATGAAAGTTCATATTGGTTGTTTCGTTGGTTTTCTTTAGCGGCATATCAACACCTCTATGGGTTATTTATTGCCGAAATCTAAATATATTGAATGCAATTGTATGCCTTCAACTACAGATAAAATAAATTGTTGATTATGAATTGTCGGTCTTTTCATATAAAAATGTATTGCTGGCATTTTTAACATTAAAATGTATTTTAATATTTTCATAGAGTTTATTTTTGAGAAAGGATCACTATTTACCCATAGCTGCAACCCTAACAGGTGCTGCCACCTCGGGCCAGGATTGATCTGGAAACAACAGTAATTAAGAAGTGGTTCCATGCTCCTCAAAAGCTTCAATCTCCTGATCAGAGGATTGCTGCCAGATCTAATTCATCGTCATACCAAGGACATGGTCTGACACGTGTTAAAATAGAGGATAACAAAAGGAGTCAGGTGCTTTCTGTAGAGATATGAACAATAGACCATTTTCCCAGCCTTTTTCTTTTCATTGTGGTAATGGATGGTATATATGAGTTCTACCTGAAGTCTGCTCTCAGCAAACGTTCAAGATAAGAGAATATAACGGCTCATAGTGGCAGAAGAAAATTCACGTTGGGGCAAAGCATAAATTCCTTAGTTATTTCGAAAGTATCACTAAAAGTACGAGGCCCAGCATCATCATGTTGAGGAGACTGTCCAAATATCCTGCCAAATATTGTGTGCACCTGGTTACGTAATTAAACTACTTTACATCCCAGGTTCCTATATATATTAAGAATACGAATAATGGATTTTCAAGAAATGTTTCACAAACATTCACGCGACCCCTTATGCTTTGTGAAACATAATTAATACTCTAAATGTGTTATCGACAAAGATATTCGTCATTCTGAAATTTTGCGAATGTTTGTAGTAGGGTTCGTCTTTATATTGTGTTTTAAATCCCCATAACCAACCACGGATGGTCGTCCACTTGTGGAATTCATATCAGTGAAGTAAACACCACTCTTAAAACAGTTGAACCATTTTTGGCGGTAGTACGGTCAGGTATTGTCTGATTTCTTACAGTTCTTGAATTCTGAAAACGGCTACAGTAACATTGAGGCCACTTTTAAAATAATTACTCAAAATCTTATCAAATTCACAAACCAACGCTTTAATCTACGAGACCATTTCTGCCGTAGTGGTTGTGAGTTAAATCCTTGGGTCGGGCATTATCATTATCGGTATTCACAGCTGTATAATAGCGATAATGATAACGCCACACCCAGTGATTGAGCCCACAACTACTAGGGAAAATTGCTTAGTTTTTGGGTTTTTTTTTTGTTGGTTTATGGATTTGCTGATATAGCGGTTTTGAGATCAATCCCTGAGTCGGACAGTTTGTATTAAACAGTATTAAAAATAAGAACGAGAAGAGATATCCCTAGGCATTACCAGTGGAAGGACAACTGTCTATCCATCTAGATTAAATAATGGATTAGAATCAGAATTCCCAGTATCAGATCAATGTACACCTAAGGAAGGCCTGAGGACACAACGGCAGAAACCTTGTAATAACAAAAACAAAATGAAGAAAATACTTCGAATATAAATAGTGTAAATAATGGCAGAATAAAATTTGTTAATTGTTAGATTAATATAGCAACAACTCTAAGTAGAAGCTAATGAAGCTTTATTTAACTCCTTCTGTTTCACTGCCGAAAAAGCTTCAGTTTATTTTGGTGGATGGTTACAAGCGGGAGGGGAGATGCGATATGATTATTTTTATAACATTGGACATAAAATTTCGTCTTTATTACAAAAGTATTACAAACGCATGTTTCGATTATTTTGATGCATATATATATATATATATATATATATATATATATATATATATATATATATATATATATAAACAATGTAAAACTTTGTAAAACTTAGTTATTGTTGTATGCCGAACGTAGGGACTATTATAAATGGAATGAATAAGAAAAAAACTAGGAATGATCCACGTAGTAATCCTCCTACTTGTAATTGTAGAAACAAAAACATCTGTCCATTACAGGGAAAATGCCAGCAAGAATGCATGGTGTATCAAGTGAAAATTTACAAAAATACGGAGGATTCTAACCCTAAAACATACATAGGTGCTACTCAGGATAAATTTAAAAAAAGATATTATAACCACACGAGTAGTTTTAAGAATGCAAAAAATTAAACATAGTACCACGCTATCTACCTACGTATGGAAAACCAAACAAGAAGATAATATAGACCCCATCCTTAAATGGGAAATATTAAAAAAATGCCCAAAATATAAAGCAGGCCATAAATTTTGCAAATTATGTGCTGAGGAGAAATTAGCCATAGCTTTATATGATCAACCTAACCAGCTATTAAACTCTAAAACTGAAATTCTCAATGTATGTAGACATAAAAAATCTTGGCTACTAAATTAGACGTTTTCCCGTTATTGACTTTCCACTGAGGTTTTTTTTTTTTTTTTGTTGAATAAATATTTACCCCCCCCCACTTAGGTTTTTGTTTGTTTTTTTTTGTTTTTGTCACGTGGTATGATTTTGGCTATCACCTATAAATATGTGTTTCTCTTTGCCTCGTTAGCCAAACTTTCCCTGACGATCCGTTTAGTGAAACCTAGGTAGGTTTGTCTGGCTCACTAGTGTATCTATATATATATATATATATATATATATATATATATATATATATATATATATAGAGAGAGAGAGAGAGAGAGAGAGAGAGAGAAAGAAACTATAAAGAAAAAGAAAATGACAGGAGGAAGAGAAAAGAGAGTGTATACAGAAAGGGTGAAAGAATGAATGGAAGAGAAAAGGAAAAGATGGTATAAAGTAAACGAGAAAAATGGAAGGAAGAAAAAAAAGAGTATAGAGAAAAAGAGAAGAGAGATTATAGAGAAAATGATTAAGAATAGAGGAAGAGAGAGAGAGAGAGAATATAAAGAAAAAGGAAAAGGAAAGGAGGAAGAGAAGAGAGAGTGCATACAAAAAAGGAGTAAAATGAAAGGAAGAGAAAAAAGT